TTTAACTGACCGCTCTGTCACATAATTACACGCATCCTGTCACTGTAAACTGGTCTGTCAATCATCTTGTCACAGTTAACATCCTCCACATTTCATTTAATTTAACTTCCTACTGTACTGGAGAGAAAATAAGTAGCTCGTTGATCTGCCAGTAGCGGGTCTTTCATGTGGAGAACTCTGCTCTCTGCATGATGCATTTAAAAGTTAATGACCAAATGGATGTTTATAAAACTTCACATTGCTGTTGCAGATGAAATATAACACGGATAACAATAAATCAATATTTTTTTACTAGGTTAAATGCTCATGATGCATTTAAAAGTTAATGACCAAATGGATGTTTATAAAACTTCACATTGCTGTTGCAGATGAAATATAACACGGATAACAATAAATCAATATTTTTTTACTAGGTTAAATGCTGATTATTAGTAACTCAAACCCCTTTTTGTAAACCTCTCTACCTAACCGTCGATCGCGCGCATCCACCACGTTTGTAGTTTTCCTAACGTGTTTTATTCGTGTTTGTAGTTCTGGACCGAATCATTTGCCAAAGCGCAATGGACTGTGGGCAATTTTAGCCATTAGAGTGTGCACAGATCCACACTTCAAAAATCGACCTGAAATAGTAGACCATCCGGGGACTTTTGGCATACTCTTTTCAACATACTATGCTTTGGGACACACTTATTCTAATCTCACATACTATTTAGGATGGATAGTATGAACATTGAGACGCAGGGTGAGTATCTTTTTCTGTGATATCAGTGAATCAACTAATCATTCCCTCAATCGTTCCTGAATCATTCCCTCCTTTGCTCTCTTACCACTGTCTTTATGAACAGGGCAAAGGATACGTCTGAAGGGAAATACACTGACGTTCTGTGTACACACATTAAAACGATGGCCTAATCGTCTGAGTTCTGGTATATAAACCATTACTGCCACAGTCCATGTATTTTTTATCAACCTTTAAATATAGAGAGGTGGGAGCGTTTAATACCAGCTGGACAAATAGGGGTCTGACCGCGGTCGCGATCAATAAACCTCCTTTACAGGAAGCTTCAGATCCCCTATTTTCCAACTCTATAGTTCTTATACACCAAAGAAGAGCAAGCAAAGATACACGGCCATTGGGACTCGCAAAGTCAATACTGCTCCCTTTACGCAGGCCTGAGGGGTCATATAATGATCCATCCTCGGTGCCAAATATTGTTCCAGGCCGGTTTTGAGAAGTGTTTTCGATCTACCCACAAGAGTGTAATACCCGCCGGACAAATAGGGGTCTGACCGCTGTCGCGATCAATAAACCTCCTTTACAGGAAGCTTCAGATCCCCTATTATCCAACTCTATAGTTCTTATACACCAAAGAAGAGCAAGCAAAGATACACGGCCATTGGGACTCGCAAAGTCAATACTGCTCCCTTTTCGCAGGCCTGAGGGGTCATGTAATGATCCATCCTCGGTGCCAAATATTGTTCCAGGCCGGTTTTGAGAAGTGTTTTCGATCTACCCACAAGAGTGTTTGAAACAAGGTAAGAGACTTTACTTCATTCCCACTGTCTAATTCTAATGTCTAATGTCTACCAGATTGACAAGCCTACGCTAATCAGAACTGCTAAACCGGTTCAGCTATATCAGGATGGAAAGTGGATTTTGTTAGCAGAATCAAGGCTTTTGCTAAGATCCGGCAGCTTCAGCTAGCAGACAAATAATTAGGTATCTGATGTCCGGCACCTTACAAGAGACCGTTGAGCGAAATGAAGTGAACGCGCAGAATAAATGGACAGTGCGTCCTGATAACTGATCGCGGAGGGTCTTAACAGACAACCTGACTGCTGCTCTACACAGGCATGTCTTCAGATAATTCAGCATTCTCCAGCATGTCTCACGCTAATTAAATGCAAAACGTTCCATCCAGAAATGTCACAATTGATTTATCTTCTTCTGTGGCCAGTGACTTTACTTCAATCTTTCCATGGATAAGTGAAGAATGAAGGAAAACTGGGGGGAGTGTTGATGTTATTTGCCCTCAAACGCTCACTCTTCATGTACTTTTCTTTCTATATTCTTAACTCTCTTTTTATGTATCTTTACTTTACTGGATGGTGAGTTGGACTTACAGCTTGAAGATTCTGTAACAGTAGGTCTGCTGACATGAAAATTTGTCAATGTCATTACATGGTTCCCATAATGTTCAGTTCAGTGAGTCAGATGTTGTTCAGTTGAGTAAAAGGTCTGATCAATTCAGTTCATTAAAGAAATCATCACACTGATTCAAACCACTCTCCAATTTTTTATGTAATCAAATGTTTCCCAATGGAAGCTGATAATGTAGTATGTACATCTAGGTGTTTTTTATTCATTTCTTTTATTTATTTAATCACTATATTTGTTCAGTATCATACTTGTAAAGTCAAATTGTTTAAAAAAATGCTTGAACAATTTAAAATGGACATTAAAATGTATTTGGAAACAATATTTAAAGGTAAAAACTTAAAAGCGATATGAACTAGACAATTGTTTAATATGCATTTTTTTCTTTCAATATACCCCTAACATGTTTGGTTATATGTCCTGTTGTTTGTACAATATGCTTGATTTTTTTTTTTTAAATCAATAATTCACTCACACTTTTATGTTTTTGATTCACTAAAGAACCAGTTGCGTTCTACCGACTACACTAAAAAAAGTATAGATTCATAAGAGTCATTTGTTGCAAAATCAGATTACCCTGGTCATGCAGTATGTTTTTGATACACTAAAAAGAATCAGCTCATAAACATCAGTCATTTCGGGTTTTGGACTACACTGTTCGTGCTGTATGTT